ACGAGCCAATCTACATCCTCAGGTTTAAGAAGATTGAACAGGGGCAGTTGTTGTACCCCAAAATTTTCCCTCTCATTTTACTCAATACTCCTAGAGATCCTTAATTTGTTCAAGTTTGCCCAAGAGTTGACCAGACAAACTCTCTCCTAAGGCAGTGTGTCTCAAATTAGGGTTTCCATTTTCATCAAGATAAGTGAACTCCAAAGAACTCATATGCTCTCCATGGTCCTAATATGTTCTCAAGACCCTCCGTGTCAAATTTCAAGCATTGCACAAGAAGTTTGCTCAGTCAACTGCTCAGATGCTTGAGAATCGACTGTATTAGGTCAAAAGTCAATTGTGGCCCACATACAGTCAAACTTCAAGATTTTTGGTCAAGATAAACATTTTAAGTGATATCCATCATTTGATCAAGGGTTGATCATGATTCATCAAGGAATTCCCTAAATTCATCAAAACCCAAAAGTTGCTAAATTAGGGTTTCTCAAGAAAAGTCAACCAAACTTTGACCAAGCATAACTTCCACATACTTTATCAGAAATTTTCCAACCAAGGCTCATTTTGAATATTCCCTACAACTCATCTTCAGCCCACAAGTTCAAAATATGCACTCATAAAAAGATATGAATTTCTACATTATAGGTCCTTTTGAAAAGTAAAAAAAACACCTTTTGGATCAAAGCTTCGTACATGAACATGGAAGACTCAGTTGAAATGATACCAAAAGGGTTGCTTAGGGGACATCATAAGCTTTCTAAAAAGTCCAATAACACCTCTCTAGGGTTAAAATTGGAGGAGATATGCCTTGTCAAAGTTGACTTTTTTTGCAAAATTGCCAAAAGTCAAATATGCTCAAAAGTGCATTTTTTACCAAATGGGCTTAGCATTTCATGATTGCACCTCACTTGTAGCATGTTCCACGACCAAAATGTTCACTCACATGTTATTTGATTCATTATTTATTTTATTTTGATTTCTTATTTATTAAAAATTGAATAAAATCAAATAATTGGTAAATAATATCAAAAATATTTTTTAATATGATTTTTAGACAGGATCTCAATCAAATAATGCTGAGATATCAAGACCAAATCGAATCAAGCATGATTGGTACAAAAATGGGATAATTTGGCTCAATTTAGAAAGTTTGCATATGGCTAAAGAACCAAATCAAATCTTCTCAAAACTTCAAGATTCAATCTGTTTTGCAACCCTAATTCACTCAAGGGTATATAATGAACAAGAACAAAGCATAAAATAGGGGTTGGCATTCGTGAATGAGCAAGAACAAACTCAAAAATCTTGACAAAAAGTGTGAATCGGTTTCAGTCATACAGTCCATCTCAAGCCATCCTAGCATTGTCAATCGATTGTTGGACGTCTCAGGAAGCTATCCCAATCGTTTGTAAGCCATAACACGTGCAGAAACCCAAGCTATAACTATCACGGTTTGCTTATTTTTTCCAAATCGATTACTGAATTTCCTGCATCATTAGCATATTTAAGTGATATATTTGTGATCATTGACATGTTTGCAACCTGACTGGATGATTTAGTTGAGTTTTTGACACCTATATATGCAACTGACATTATTAGGGTTTTCATGTGCATTTTAGGAGTTTGTCACACATGTTAAATTGGGCAAAGAGAAGAACACCATGATGTTCACGAGATCAAGATGAATTGATCCATGTAGTTGGAAGTAATTTATCATGTGTCTTGTGCATTTTGGAAATTTGCAGGGGATATGGCTACGAACATGTGACTGTAGGTAAAAGGTATATAGCTAAGACGACAGAGCCTTGGAGAAGAAGAATAGGTGGCAGCCAATCAGTGGACCATTTGAAATCTCGCGCGCGTTTCCCACTAACTCATTTATTTTGTTATATTATATTTTGTTTTCATTCTATGCACAACAAAGCAGATTGGTCTAGTGGCGAAGCGTGTTGGTGGGAAACATAAGGACCTGGGTTCGATCCCAGGTCCAAGCAATTTTCATTATTTTCTCAATTTTTATTCACAGATCTAGTGCATCAATCCCTCAAACGTCTATTATGTGCCATCAACATTCAGCCATTGGATCATTATAACATCAGATTCAACGGTTCCAGCCAGGAAAGAACATGATGGACCCTCAAGAGATGATCCCACTGGATCAGGCGCTGGTAGGATGGGCCAACAACCTTGGGCCCAACAATTTCAATAGCGCACCCCCCAAATTTGCTACTAAACACAGGCCCATTTTCAATTCTTTCTTATTTTTATTTCCTTTATTTAATTATTTTGTTTAATTATTTTTCCACAAAAATTAATTACTTTTTTTATTAATCATAAAATCAACAAATCACAAAATCACAAAAAGATCATTTTTTCATAAAATATTTACTTTAATTTAATTAGAAAATTAGGTTAATTTAATTTACTTTTTTTTCATAATTAAAAACAATTAGAAATTAGGGTTTAATTAATGCGCAATTAAATTCTTTTCTCAAATAAAAAACATACAATTTTTTTTCTCAATTAGGGTTTTAGGTTATTTTTTAAGCGTCCTCGCATTTAATTCGTCGCGCGATAAATTAATTCTTTTCATATCTTTGTAACTGCCAATGGTTTGTAATAGTTAAATTAGGGTTTTCATTTATCACTATGTCCCCGATTTTGGTTATGTAATTAATCCCTATCCCTGAAGCCTTGTAATAGCTAGGTTTATTTTCTCGCACTTTAAATTCCTGCAAATCTTTAACTGTCTAGATGCATGGCTAATAGGATTGTATGGAAAGATTGTGTGAAAATTAAAACGGTAGATCACCTAATATGCAAAGACTAAATTAATTGAAAAAATTCACATACACATATTCACTCCTAGGGTTTGCCTCACTTCGGTTGCCTTCGGTAAAACAGTCATTAAGCATAGGAGATTTTAGTGGTTGCCCTCCTGTCTAAAAGATCAAATGTCCCATTCGAATGTTGCCTCAGAAATGTTGCCTCGGAAAGATCTTAAGACTCTAGGGTTACTACTAAAGTTTCCTACCCATTGCTTTGGTGATTGTACTTGTCCCTTTCGAACGTCCCTTACAAACTCCAACGACGGGGCTACCTACTCCTTAATAGTAGGATAGCGCTGTCTAAAGGAAACGAGAATGAACAATCTTTTTTTCGAGTGGGTAGAATCTTAAGTACTTGCTCAACAAAACTTTTCACACAAACACTTTTCAAAATAATTTCCAAAACGACTTTGTCACATCCTTGATGACTGATACAAGGGTTATCACGAAGTAAAACTTTTCAAAACAAGCACACACACAAGAAATCTCGAAAAAAGGTTTTTTCTGTTCTTTTTCCTTTTCCATGATTTGATAAAATAAAAGTCGATGGCGAATCTTGCTTACCGCGACATTTTGCGAACAAAAAACGCAAAATGCAAACCAGTGTTAACAGTCGGTTCTGCCACCGTATTACAACACGAAGCCTAGCGGGACATTTAGTACGGGTCGTAGGTCTGTGTTCTCTTTTCCTATTAATTCTCCTAAAGTGTTTCATCTCTCTTAGACCGTGTTTATTGCATACAAACTGCCTCATTACTATTATTTTACCACTGTTAGTCCCTTTTGTCCTAACATCACTTTTCCTAATGAAAAACCCTTTACATTTACCATACTTAAAATAAAATTCATTAGCTTCATCAACTGTACTGAACTCCATAGCACGAATTTCATCAGCAGTAAGGACATTAATATTCACTTTTCTATCACCTACAACTGCATTTGTTTCAATAGAATCTTCGTTGTGACTATTATCATCGCCATCACCATCATCTGAACTTTGGAACGCACTAGATACCGAATTGTTGACATCCCGAGCATAGTCTGATTTAGCATCAGATGTATCACTATCACGACATCGAACGTCGTTGGAATCATAATGGTCGTAGTTTTCTATAGTAAACCTGAATTAACACATTTGCTAACACACCAAAACCCAACATAAATCACAGTACCTAATTTCCTATTCAAATCAAGCATAGAACTTAGTTCATAAAATTTAAATCAAATTTAACACCAAATATGAATTATCACAATTTTTAACACAATAAAACTCAACATCATTCTCAATTTCTTATTTCTTAATTAAATCAAGGGACCTGATTCAACGGTAACCACCAAATTTGAAAATTCGAAATCATCAATTATTAAATCCATGTAAATAAAACAAATTCAAGCATAAACTCTAATTCCCAATTTGAAATCGAACTTAACACTTCCATTTATTCTTTATTTGAAATCAATTAATCTTAATCATTAATTTCAAACAAATATAACAAACATTTTCGAATTTACCTTAGCAACCGCGTGCTCAATACGAACACAATCAGATTTTTAGTCGTGTTATGTGTGGTGAGCGATTGAATGAGACAACCTCAAAGAAATAGGGACGAACACGATGAATGTTATGCTGATGTTCGTCTGCAGTGTTGGCAAACGATGAATGGCGGACGGACAGGATGAATGACGGACAAACATGATGAATAATTTCAGGTTGTTCAAAAATGGGAGACGAAAACAAAATTAAGATTTTAGGTTAGATAGCGAAGATGAATATGATGTTGACGTAATGAGGAAGATTAAATTAAAGTTGTTCTAATTAATATTATTTTAATTGATTTTGTTTATTAACATTAAAATTTAAAAACAATATTAATATGTTAGAGACTTAATTGCAATATTCATAACTATAAAATTACCACATTAAATGGCATAAATAATACAGTCTTATGTGACATTTTAAGGCTTAGGACATAATTCTGATTGAATGTGACTTATCAAAGAAGTAATTTTGATGACTTGAATAGAATTTTCCATGTAGTTTTACACGACCATATTTAGGAGAAAAAAAAGTCTTACAATTGTAAAGTAATGTAGCATGGAAGCCTATTTGGTAAGAATAATATTTAGGCTATATATCAAACAGAATATATGAAAATAACCCTTTGAAGATGGTTTTTACATTACAAGCTTTTTGCAGACCTGCTCCATGGTAGGGCGAGATCTTGGACTTTCGGTTAAACATGAAATTGCTATCCTTATCATCAAACTCACGTCCTTTTGAACATTGTTTATGGGATATGGGAGACGCTGGTCCAACTTCTCCATCCATGGAAAAGTATCAAGTGTGAGGTCCATAACACTTTCTGAAGATTGTTGCCACAAACAAGTTACAATATCTCCCGGATGCTTCCCAAAAAGTATCTCTAAAGTTAATATTCCAAAACTATACACATCACATTTTTCATTTACTTCCATTGTGTATGCTAGCTCTGTTGGAATTGAAAAAAAGAGTTATTGTGTGAAAATTTGGATTACAAAAACAAAACATGAAATGATAAACTAAAAAAAAAAAAAGATTTAAAATAGATTAATGTAAAGAAAGGTAAATGACCTGGAGCTGCATATCCAAACGTTCCTGCAAAAGAAGTCATATTGGATGAATTGGGATTTAGAAACTTAGATGTTCCGAAGTCCGAAACATGAGCGACATATTCCAAATTCAAAATAACATTCTTGCTGGATATATCACGATGAACAATGGGAGGTGTGCAATCATGATGCATATAAGATAAAGCATTTGCAACATCTTTAATGACATTCACCCTCCTCTTCCAATCAAATTCACCAGATGTTTCATTCTCCTTCAAAATGTTGTCCATGCTACCCTTTTCCAAGAATTCATAAACCAAAAATGAGTGTAGTGAATGTGAACAAAACCCATATAACTTCACAATGTTCCGATGTCGAATCTCTGTCAAAGCACGAATCTCACTCTCAAAAGCTTTCAGATTGGACATTTCTTCATTTTGTAATGAATGGATTTTTTTCACAGCAACAACTTGACCTGTGGGCAATTCAGCTCTGTAAACACTTCCATGCCCTCCAACTCCAATGAGATGCTTGTTGTCAAACTCTTCTGTGGCTTCAATAATATTCTCATACACCATTTTCCCATCAAAACTCCATATAGAAAAAAGATTTACATTGTCTGATTCTTCAGGAGCCTTTAAATCTTTTTTTCTTGAAATTTGATATAGATGATATGAGATCCAAAAAACAAATGATGCTGACAATAATGTGCCTAGAGTTAGGGGTAAAACAAGCACCAAGACTCTGTTATTCTTATGACTATGATAGTTTCCACCTGATGTTGAGCAAGGCTTAAGGCCAGAGACATTACCACACAAGCCTTTGTTATTTCTGAGTTGGTTAAATGAGGCATTTTGGAAGGCTGGAATGTTTGGAACTGGACCCTCCAATTGATTGTATGATATATCAACATTTGTCAAGCTTAACATGTCACCATAGCTCAAGGGAATGGTACCAGAAAGATTATTGTGTGAGAGATTCAATGTTTCTAAAGAATTTAATTGTCCCAGCATCGATGGTATGGTTCCATTTAAAAAATTCTTGCTTAGATCAAGTTGTTCAATAACTTTCAATTGGCCAAAATCATCAGGAATGTTTCCTTCAAATTTATTGTGACTCAAATTCAACTGCAATAATGCTGACAACCTTCCAAGTTTTTCAGGGATGAAGCCACTTAAATTATTTGTTGCAAGCTCCAAGGAAGTTAGTTCACGCAATGATGCAATTTGTACAGGAACTTCTCCCGAAAGATGATTGTTACTTATCGAGAGTTTGTACAAAAAAGATAAGTTCCCTAGCTCCTTTGGAATTTTTCCAGTAAGATGGTTTGAAGACAAGTTAAGTTCACCTAAATTAACTGCATCACCCAATTCTGGTGGTATGGTTCCTGTTAAATTATTGTTAGAGATTTTAAGGCTTGTGAGATTCTTGCATTCTCCCCAATTTGGAGAAAGATTACCATAAAATTTATTATCACTCAATTCTATGTAGTCCAGATTTGGATATACACCAAAGCTATCTGATATATTTCCGGTCAGTTGGTTTTGTTCAAGTCTCACTCTCTTTAAACTTGAGCAATTCTTCAAACTCTTTGGAACCAAACCTGTGAATTTGTTAGCTGCAGCAGTGAACTGTGTTAACTTTCCACCAGCACAAATATTGTGAGGTAAATGACCAATGAAATTATTCTTAGATAATTGAAGGCTTGTCAAATCAGTGACCCTATTCATTTCGGTTGGAATATTCCCAGTGAGAGCATTTGAGAAAAGAGATAATATAGTTAGTTTTGTTAAATTTCCGATGGTGGAAGGAATTGGTCCAGAAAGTTTATTTTCTGGAAGATAAATACTATCCAAATTGACCAAGTTACCAATGGAAGATGGGATTGGTCCAGAAAGACCGTTTCCGTCCACTTGTATTGTGGTGAGGGAATTGAGGTTTCCAATTTCACTAGGAATGCTTCCAATGATATGGTTTGCATAAAGGTACAGAAATTGTAAATTGCTCAAGTTTCCAATTGATGAAGGGATTGTGCCAGAGAGAACATTCGTAGACAAATCAAGAAGGTCAAGTTGTTTTAGAAACCCTATTTCACGAGGAATAGAGCCAGAAAGACTATTATGTTCAAGAAAAAGATTCTTGAGCTTAGCCAAATTTCCAATTTCACGAGGAATTTGGCCAAAAAGTTGGTTGTTATTTAACAAGAGACTTGATATATTGGTCAATTTTCCTATAGAAATAGAGATAGACCCTGTGAGATTGCAGTGACTAATATCAAGATCTATTAAGTTACCCAACATCCCAAACTCCTTAGGCATGAAACCGTAAAGGCCACTTTCTTGAAGATGAAGAAACTCTAGGTTCCGTGACTTGAAAATATTTTGTGAGATGGAATCATTGAAGTTATTATTTTGAAGTGACAAATACTTTAAGTCCATTTTCCAAATCCCATGAGGAATGTTTCCAGAAAGGCTGTTTTTTGCAAAGTCAAGGTGTGACATGTTGGTTATCTTTTCTATCGAGATTGGAATAGTCCCTATGAGATTGCAAAAAGAAATATCAAGCAGTGTCAAATTCCTCAGTCTACCGATTTCTCGAGGAAGATAACCACTAAGAAAAGAATTGTGACTCATTGAAAGTGTATAAAGACCAACCAAATGGGTTATCTCACTTGGAATTGTGTCAGTGAGATTATTGGAACTGAAATCAAGAAAGGAGAGTCTGGAGAGATTACCAACAGTGTTGGGAATACTACCATGGAAATTGTTTTGTGAAAAATCAAGAGTGTCTAGGTTGGACATTACCCCAATAAGGTGTGGAACAACACCATAGAACAAGTTGTTTTTTAAAACTAAACCATGGAGTTTTTGAAGTGATGAGAAATTGAGAGTGTGAAGCGTACCTTTTAGTCCAATATTGGTGAGATTTACCTTAGAGATGGATTTAGAGTCATGATGACATTCAATTCCTTCCCAACGACATGGGTTATTACCAGTCCACGAAGCGAGCAGAGTCTTGTTTTGGTTGTCAAGGCTTGCTTTCCACTTCAATAGAGCATCTGCCTCACTGCCTTCAATATGGTGTGTGCCATTTACAAACATGCAAAGGCACAAAACAAGACATGCCATTTCTAAAAGCATCATTTTCTCAACCATTTTGGAAACTATTATTGAGGTTGCATGCCTTTTAATGCCAGATGTCGCTGATATTTATACACACCATAACTCAATCAACTATTGCTTTTTTTGTTTGTAATAGCAAAGACTGAGCTAAATTATGGTCTTCAACTTTTGTTTTTTTGTTTATATGTTTAATATTCATTTTTCCAACACGGGAGCAAATGTATGGCGCAAGTCATTGAGCTGGGGTAGCAGGCTATTTTAAATCTTTCTATTGGTTTCACTAATTTCTTTGACTTACATTATATAATTGGTTTATAGTTTTATTTTATGAAATCATTAAAAAAAAGTTGGTTTATAGTTTTATTTTATGAAATCATTAAAAAAAAGTTGAAACAATGGGTGTAAATTTTTCTATTTGTAACAACTTTTATTAACCTCTTTTATTAAATTAGGTTGGAGATTTGTTAAATTCAAAGGCTATTTATTAAATCTAAGAATAAGTTAAGAGATAAGCAATTCAACTTGAGCCATAAAAAATAAATAAAAGTAGGCAAAAATCTATTGACTTACTTTTCATTCTTCTAAAATTTTCCAACACGGGAGAAGAAGATTCATACATACATTCCAAACTAGTCATAGTCATTGAGCTGGGGTAGCACACTATTTTAAATCTTTCTATTGGTTTCACTAATTTCTTTGACTTACATTATATAATTGCTTTATAGTTTTATTTTATGAAATCATTAAAAAAAAGTTGAAACAATGGGTGTAAATTTTTCTATTTGTAACAACTTTTATTAACCTCTTTAATTAAGGTTATATAGTCAGTTTCATATTTTTTTTATACAAATTATCATAACGAGAATTCTATTGAGGTAATGTGAGTGTTAAAAGAGACAAATCAAGTTGTTTTTGAATATACACAAAAATATAAGAATGATCAAATAGATAAGTGATTGTAAAATTTACTACAATTCTTTTATCTCAGTTGTACATAGATTTAAAGTGAAACTTTTAAAATTTAACATTTTTTACTTTGGAAATTAATTATTAATGATTAGTATTTTTAAATATAAACTAGTAACAAACCCGTGCTATCGCACGAGTCTCGTCTGGATTCACATTACATTTATAGATTATTAAATTATTAAGTATGTTACCATGTTTTCAGTTGAGTATATGTCTCATGTAAACCATGTTGGCATTTAACTCCATATTTGTAGCAAGTGTCGGTCCTATCAACAAATCACGTCTGCATGAACAAATAGGAAAAATTTTATACTTCTTGAAATACATGGAAAATGTACATACTATATATTTTAATTCAAAATAGATTTTTAATTTGAATCGTAAAGTATAAGATATAAAGTTTACCAACTATCAAAGTGCTTGAAAGACTTCCTTGTACACAACATTAGTAGTAGTAGAACACGGTACATTCTCCTTGTCATGAATTAGGATTTTTAGCCCACTTTTGCTCTTAACTCTTGAAATTGCAACATATAATTGACCATGACTAAACACAGGAGTAGACAAATACAATCCAACACTATCAAGAGATTGACCTTGTGACTTATTAATTGTCATTGCATAGGAGACAATAATAGGAAATTGTCTCCTAATCAACTTGAATGGCCAAGGTGAATCAGAAGGTGACATAGACATTCGTGGAATGTAAAAAATGTTACCTATGTTCTTTCCAGACATGATTTTTGCCTCAATGACATGATTTGCAAATCTTGTAACAATTAATCTTGTTCCGTTGCACAACCCATCGGCTTGGTCCAAATTTCTCATTAGCATAATAGGTGTACCAACCTTCAATTTGATCCTATGATTGGGAAGCCCTAACGTTCTTAATTTACTGAGAAATTCAGGAGTTAGAACTTCATATGCTTCAGTATAACTTGAATCTGTTCTATCAATGGAATCAAAACTCAAATACTCTTTCTCTTCTCCTAAAAAAAAGTTTAAAAGCAAAACATAAATAAATTAGTAAAACTATGTTCTTATTTATATATATATATATATATATATATATATATATATATATATATATATATATATATATATATATATATATATATATATATATATATATATATATATATATATATATATATATATATATATATATTATGAATGTAATAATACAGTAAATATAAAACACATGTACCTGGTATCAAGTCTAATACATAATGATTGATTTTGTCCACAACTTCAATGGTTGAAGCAAGAATAGCCTTTCCTTGTAAGAATTCAACATCTTGATATTTTTCCAACAAATTGGGATATGTGTTTTCAACAATTGCTCTTATAGGATCATCAAAATTTGATATTAATAGCTCTTGAGGAATTTCAATATCAACCAAACCATCATTGGGTTCACAAATCTTACCATCACCCACATTTAAAATCCATTTTGAAAATTCTGCTAGTTCATTAGAACTTGTGTTGTCTCTTCCCTCTTGAAGTCTCATATTTTTTGATAGTGTTAAAACCTGGCAATAATCCCATACATAAGATGAACTAATTGATGCATGAACAATATCAGAACGCCCAGCTCTTGGAACAACAGGAAGAATCTGTCTAAAATCTCCTCCAAATACAACAACTTTTCCACCAAAAATAGTATTCTCAACACCCTTTTTGCTCATTACATCTTTAAGGGTTTTATCCAATGCTTCGAAGCAGTTCTTGTGAGACATAGGTGCCTCATCCCATATTATCACATCCGTTGCTTCAAATAATTGAGAATTTTCGGTGTCTTTGTCGATGTTGCAAGTTGAGTTGTCAAGCGTTGGCACAGGTATTTTGAACTTTGAGTGTGCTGTTCTTCCACCCGGCAATAATAACGAAGCTATCCCACTTGAAGCAACAGTAAGAACAATTTTTTTTTGAGAACTAAGTGCACTTGATAGTGTTCTCCACATGAAAGTTTTACCAGTCCCTCCGTAACCATGCAAGAAAAATACCCCTCCACTCTGTTTGTTAACAGCATCCATGATTTTCTCAAATATCAAACGTTGTTCATCTATAAAATACAAACTAAGAATTATAAGTGCAAGGACAATAAAAATCATTTTTGTAATTCATAGTATAAAGAAAATAAATCACCTGTAAGGGCATGAAAAAGTTCTTGGAATTTCTGTTTCTCGGTATCGGCATCGTAATTAAGTTCGTCATAAATAAGCCTATTGCCAACATGTTTTGTGATGTATGAATCTGGATACGGCATACACTTAAATTCATGCAAACTTCTTCGATTCGATTGCATCATGTTCTCAATCTCAATTAGTGTGAGATTCTTTAACTCATTGTCCGATAGCTGCAATTCTGTTAAAAAAATTTCATTAGTTTTCTATATAATTACATATGTATGATGCAACTGCTGTCGTGATGTTGAAATACATTGAACATAAATCAAACAGTTGATGTTGCGGCTGCGTGAAATAAAATAAACCAAAACTAATACTTAGCATAATAAAATTAAGTTGTTTCCATGATAAACTAAAGCTTAATAAACAGCAGTTTGTGTTCTATCTTTATATCAAATTTTCCTCCTTGATTGGTTTTGTCATCTTTGTTGAGGAAAGTTGAACACTTTCAACATCTTCTGCTACATCGGTTATTCTTCTCTTCGACGGTGTCAGCCCCGAATTCGCAACAGAAGGATCATAATCTGCAGATGCGGACAATGGTTCCTGCAATATTTTAAGAAACATTGATTAATGATAATATGCAGCAAGCAATGTTGTACTTAATGTAATCAAAGACAAAAGTATATACTTACAGAAAAACTCCTCAAATCCTCTTGCGAGGAAGGCTCCGATACGCCAAGCTTCGATGCTACCTGTCAAGACATAATTGAATCAGAAAAACGATTTATTATACCAAAGTTGTTTCAGCGGCATAATTAATTTAGTCTTCAAACAAAACATACCTCTTCAGATTTGAAATTGTCCCGTATTTTCTTACGTGTTTCTTCATCGTCTTTGAACCCAATAACTGAGAGTCTTCCAAACTTTGGCTGAAAAACAACTCTAATAGCTAATTCCTTTTTCAATAAAGCATCAAGTTCATATGGGAATTCCCAAGGATTGTCTTCACCTTCCTAAATTAATTCATCCAAAGGAAATATAAAATTAATAGCTAAAATTGATTAACAGTTGGAGAAATGATAAAATTATAACTAAAATAATAAAAGTGCAACATGTAATGGGCAACGTCAAATTGTAACTAAAATCCACGGTTGGAGAAATGATTCAAATGAATAATACCTCTATCAATTCAGTCTTAATTTGCAAAGCAGACTTTCCGATTAATTTCACACAGTCGCTGTCCCAAAAGATGAATCGGGCCTTGAATTTCCCATCAATTCCCATAATCTCAAGCTTGTATCTATAAGAATTAAAGTAGGTAATTAAACAATATTACATAGTGAACAACAATGGACTACATTATTCAAACAGGTACATAACATAATGTTTTAACTCACACCTCGGTACGGTTTCAGTCGTTATATGATTCGTATAACACTTCAAATTTCCTTCCTTCAGAGACACACTTTTAGTACAGACACCACAACCATCGTAATACCACCCCACCTGGCCAGCCTCAAATTTGTCCAATGCCGCAACGGTCACACAGGTTGTCTCCTATGGAATAAAGAATGCGAAATAAATATATCATATACAAAGTTATGAGATAAATAAGATATTTACTTAATTTAAGCTTACATATTGAAGACTTGAGATTTCAGCCAGACTAAGAATTTCTGCCTTCCATATAAACTTATCAAATTCAGTATACTGTGAGTTTTGGGTGGTTTCAACTTGCAAGGTAGACTGCGATAACTTTGGCAAATCATTTTGAAGACTGTGATGTATAACACAGTGAAAAAAACAATACGGAAAATGTTATTAGCGGTTATAATGGATATCAAAATTGTATACAGGAACAGGATTTGACCAACAAAAAATTAACTACCTTTCTTTCAGCTTACTAATTTCAACGACGCTAACATCATTGAT